ATTGTATCAATTTGGTAACAATTTAGTAACTACTTAATTACGATATTATTAAAAAATTATAACTTTCTGTAAAGTAACTAATTTAATTAATTTTAAATTTGTTATTGAAAGAGCTGATCGTGAATATAAAAGTCCAAGTAACCAACCTGCAAAACACATAAGCGAAGCACAACCTGCTATTCAACATTTCTCGTGTGAGGGTGTTATAAAAATTAAAATAGATTTGTGTGAGCAAAAAGCAATGATACTATAAAACATTTGGCTCATGAACGTCTGACATATAGGGGAACAAAATTACCTGACGATACTATAATATGGATACAACAAAATGTTAATAGCATTCTGCGAAAAATAGAGTTCTATAGATGGCTTTGCAATGAGAAGTTGATTAACCCATTATTGCATACTTAATACCAAGTATATTATTAGGTATACAAATTCTCAGTAAATCAATACGTGACTGATGTTGGAAACCAGTTAAATTCTGCAAAGAACTTTTTAGAACAAAGAGAGTTAATAGATAAAGGATATAAGGTTATTTTGTACTGTGAGAATGAGTTCGTGCGTGCACTTGGTTTCACTACTCCATTTCTTCAAGCACCAGAAAATATTACTGAAATTGTTGTTGACTCAACATTTAAAACAAACCAGGAGCAATTTGAACTCTTTGCTGTAAATTTTAATTGCGGCGGGTATGGCATTCCTCTTGCATATCTCTATGTAGATACATATACTACAATGGGAGAATGACTTTCAGATCCAAAGTATATATTGTATATTAAAAGAATTAAGTTATTTAAATTATTAAAAAATTTAAATTTAAAATTTAAAATTTAAGCAATAAAATAAACACAAGAGTTGGTGTACTTATTGAATTTTTTAAAAGCTTGCGCAATGAATGCATTTTACCTGCCTTTGTGCTACTTGACAAAGATGCTAGAGAAATTGTAGCTGTTCGTGAAGCTTGGTTTCAAACTACAGTAATACAACTTTGCCTCTGGCATATGAAGCATGCTATTAGGCGCAAATTAAAAGAAACAAAAATCAGGTAAATATAAATTTTTTTTTTAATTTAATTATTTTTTTTTTAATTTTTTTTTTTTTTTAAGAAAAAGTCAATATACAGCACAGAAAGCAAGTGAAGCACATTCTCAATTTAACTTTATTGACCCTACGTGGGTTCCTGAAGATCAACAGAGTAATATTTGTCCTAAAGAATTAGAAGATGAGTTATTAAGAATGGTCACAAAGCATTCAATATTACATCCCCTTATACCAGTAGATTAAAATGTTTTTCTTACAGCAAAAGCAATTCGGTATCAAAGTATTTTAGAAGCCTACCAATTTTGCCACCAAAATAATTTTAATAAGCTATGAGGATATTTATGGTCAAGCTGGTATAACATGAAAAATTGGAATTTGTTCGCACGGTTATTTTATCCAAATGCAATGCCTATTGGCAGAACCACGATGATTGTAGAGTCATACTGGCGTAATCTTAAGCACAATTATAAATATAATTGTAATAGGCCATGTCTAGACTGCCTAACACAAATTATCACAAAAGAACTAGTTCCTAATATCAAAAATACCCAACTAAGATATTACTACAATCGTAAATTTCCATCATATTGGGATTCATTTAAAGAACACTGGAAAATTGCTACAAAAAAAGATATAAATAATGAAAACAAATATTATACTGATATAAATTCTTGGGTTTGCTCTTGTCCCACATTCATACATAGTACTTATCTTATATGTAAACATCTAACAAAAAAATATATCACAGAGAATCCAAATTTTTTTCCTCAATTTAAAGCCACGGCACGTCATTATGATTATCCATTTATCATCTTTCATAAAGAAAATATTCCAAGAATTTACCCAAGCAATAGCCCTTGGAATAATATTCTACAAGATAGTGAAACAGAATTTGTGCCAGACTCTGAAATATCAAGTAGTTATAGTATTATTACATCTATTTCCAAGCACTATGTAGAGATCGAAAATAGAAAAGCAGAATTAATAGAAGATAAAAAAGCATTCGATTCATTAGTGAAGATTATAACTGATAATATTGAAAATAACAAGCTTTACGAAGTATATACAACCCTTAAAAAGCCTCTTATCGCTGAGACTACCGCATGTAACAAAGTTCTTAATGCAAAAACACAACAACAAACCTGGGATAAATCAAAAATAGGAAAATTAGCTTTTTGGCTTCAATAGTTTTTAGCAAAATTAAAAATTAGATCTCTTAAAAGATCTTTGTTTTCTTAAAGTAGTATTGTCAGGAATATACTTAGTTATATTTAAAATTCTTGGTTTTTGAAGACTACTTATTTTGTAATAAACATTAGTTTTTTTAATTATAATTTTATACAAATGCTTAAAAAAATAATAACCATTTACCGTCATTGTTCGTTAAGTAAATTATTGAGTTTAATATACGCAAATAATATATGTACTGTATATTCCTGACTATACTCTAAGTAAAATATTATATAGTTTGTGTGTATAGTTGGTAATTATACACAAACCTCTTACAAAAATCTTAACATGTTTTTTTGAAGCATGTTAACGTATGTTAATAAGATTATCAGGTTTCATCTTTTGTGCTCTTTCTGAATACGGTCAGAAATGATCACTGATCGTGTGATCTCAACATTTTTTTGCCATGACTAACCTATCTTTACAAGACAGACTTTTGTTAAAATTTCACCTATCCGACCAATAATTTCTGAAGGATTTTAGCATCATGTTCAACTGCTCTTCTAATTCTTTTTTCTACTGAAAGAGTAACTT